AACAACAATACAATATCAACCCTCTAGAAGCTTAGACCCAAACTCCCAACCAATTGTCAGAGCACCCCCAGTTAGAAGTGTCCCAGTGTGGGGATAAAAAACACCCCAAAACTACCAAAAAGAAAAAAGGTGACGGGCTAAACTAAAAAACAGCCAGTTCCAAGTGTAGTGAAGAACTCGTTGCCTCCTTATGGAAGCTAGGCCAACCGCATAACGTTTATGGCAACTTCTGGGCCTTGATGAGTGTTGCAGCAGCACTCCCCGGTCCCCACGTAATGGACTCCTGACATGTAGAAAACCATATTGGGCTTACCGGACAGTCACAGAGGTAGGTGGGATGGGTGGACCAGGCAAGTGAGCCATACCAGAAGGAGCTCCTCTATCGCAACGCATCCAGCCAGTCTCCCGCCTGCGTCGGGGTGTCGAAGAAGTGAGCCTTGCCTGCATGTTGGATACGAAGTTTGCTCGGATAGAACATGCCATACTGTATTCCCTTCTCCCGGAGCCTGCGTCTCACGTCCACGAACGACCTCCTGCGTTTCTGGATCTCTGCAGAAAAATCAGGGAAGAACCGGAGTTGCGCATTCCCACAGCACAATTCAGGAGACTTACGAGCTGCAGCCAGGATCCTGTCTCGGTCTCTGTAATTCAGGAGACGGGCCAAGAAGGGACGCGGGTGGGCCCCCGGCAGGGCTCTGCCCGTGGGCATCCTGTGCGCCCGCTCCACCACAAACGTAGGAGGCAATGTGTCCATAGCCAGAACACGTTTGAACAGTTGTTCAGCAAACTGAACCGCATCTGTACCCTCCTCGCCCTCTGGGATTCCCACAATGCGCACATTATTCCGCCGCATGCGGTTTTCAGCATCATCCACTTTTGCAGCCAGCGCCCGCACGGTATGTTGCAAATCCGTAAGCGTGGCGGTATGTCCCTGCACTTCATCCTCCACATGCGACACCCTCGTCTCAGCAGTAGTGAGGCGCGTGCGGATTTTATCCAGGTCATGGCGGATTAGGGTGCATTCCGCCGCCAGGTGGTCAATCTTGGCCGTAAGGGTAACCTGGCACCCCTCTATTGCTGCCAGGATCGCGGAGGTCCCCGCTCCTTCCGGGGATTGCGACCTCGTGTCCCCAGAGTTAGAGATCCGGGACGGCTCACCACTCACCCCCTCCACGCCGGCTCCCTCCATGTCCAGCAGCGGCAGGAGAGGCCCAGGAACGAGCACAGGGGAATCTAAGATGGCGCCGGCCTTCCCCTTACCCGTGCCATTCGCGTTCCGGGTGGATTTCCTCTGTGAAGCGGCACGTCTGCGGGACTTGGCGGACATAGATCTGCTCCCCAGTGAGTCCCACACAGGATAGAGGGGCAAGTGCTGCCAGGTAGAGCGGTAGGCAGGAGAAAAGCAGGATGTTACGAGCAGAGGCAACGGAGCTTCACGAGACACGTGCACTCAGGCTCACATCGCGGCCACGCCCCCTTCACTTGAGTCTTTAACTAAGTATTTGTTTTCAGCATTGCCCCACCATTATCATGAAATACGAAAAAAGACCCCTATAATGTTGCCAATTCATACTAGACCTAATATACAAAATATATATGTCGAAGCTATAACAATCAACTCTGCATTATATTCCTTACTAAACAAATAGATTCATATTCTATTATCTAAGAATAGCCGTAGTGTGCGGGAAACGTTTCTCCCCCCCAAGGTGTGACATCCCTGTGTGTCCTTTTCTATGTTTCATTTACGTACACATACTATATTGATGATGCCCAATAATCCCAATATGGGACGTGTCTGTTTTGTTTCACTCAAGCCCCCAATGAATCTTTTGTTTTCAACATTGCTGCATTGATATCACTGCATAAATAAAAAGTCCCTTATATGGTGGTCAAGTCATACCAGACCTAATATACAAAAAACATATGTCAAAGCTATGACAATCAACTCTGCATCATATAATAATCTTCACTAAATAAATATGTTGCCCATCCTTTTACATATAAGCTGTTGTTATGCATTTTTAGGGTATCTGCTCTCACCCGTGAGACTTTATTGTGTTTGAAATATGCTCTTCACCATATATTTCTGTTAGTATATTGCCACTATATTGTTACATCACTGGTCGGCCATTACAAGATTAATATCTTCCGGATCACGGACCTTTTCTATCTTCCTTGGGCCTCTGGGGCTTTCCCCAATGTGTTTCCCAGTCTCTGCGGGCTTGCCCGTTCTTTATGAATGACCAGCGACGTCACACTCCCGGCCCCTCCCATCGACATCTGTTATTTACGAACTACAGCTGCGTTAACCCGCCCATCGCTTCTGATTGGCTGATGGGCGGTCCCACTGAGAGATCATGTGATCTCTCATGTCAGACGCCGCTTTATAAGCCCACACGGGACCGCTGATGTCTTCAGTGCAGGGCTGGCAACGGCCCTACGAACATCAGCGGTGTTAGGTGGAGGATCTTCCCCCTCAGCTGCCCTGGACCCTATATCTTCTCATGTGGACACTCCTCCATCCTCTTTTTATGGGTAAGAGAAGGATCCATACAGTCCTTTCACTCCTTGTTAAGCTCCCTCTCACAGATGTCAGCTTGCATCCCCCTTCCGCCTGTTGTTTTTCAACACTTCCTCTACTAGCAATCTGGTGCACCCCTTGGTGGTCATTCTCTTCACTCCCTGTTGATATTTTTTTTTCACTCCATTGACATATATCATGACCTTTGGCCTCAGCTCAAAATGTAATCCTAACAACCAAATTATTATGAATATTGATCATTCATTTGATATGTGGGCCAGAGTTTGGGCATCATATAAATACCTGGGTTCACACAATTGGGTTATTAATAATATGTGATTCATATATATATATATATATCATACCTTTTTATATACACCTCCATTTTTACCTATAGTGTCCAGGCCCGCTTTGGCTGTGATCGTTCCATCCTCCTCCACCCTGGGCTCACATGCCCTTGGCCCGCTATATGCCATTGCTAAGCACTTGCTGACCTCACACTGAAGGGGGTAAGACTTATCTGGCACTACCCAGTGTCATTTTGATATTTACAATTTTAATTAATTTTTGGTTGATTACTTATATTTTGTTTCTATATAACCTCTAGACTACCTCTCCCCTCTCCTGAAGAAGCGCCCCCATTGGTGCGAAACGCGTTGAGATTACGAGCATACAGGCAGTGCCTTTCTAGCATTGCAAGCAACATATCACCCCCATCAGCTTCACCCTTTCCACTTGAGATACATTCTATTAATACCTGTCTCATATTGAGTTGCCTTGTTATTATGTTATTATGATGTTATTTCCTCACATGTATGAGATTATGATCATTTAGGCAAAAATCTCAATTGTGGTGTATAGGGGGTGATAGGAGGTATATCTTTTCCCCTGAGGTATATGCTTCTTATTTTTATCCTTTCCTGCATATTTAATGCTTTTATTATATATTGTTCAATAAATGTATACTTTTTATACTTCTATGAGACTGATGTTTATTGGACTTGTTCTTTCTGGAGCCACCAAAAAACCCCATCTTTTTCTATCCCTCTTCTTTTTTGAAACAAATTTACCAGGGGTTGGTCTCCAGAAAGCAGGGATCTGTGCATCACAAAACAGTTTTGCTTGGATAATTCTACAGTTTAAATACAAACCCTGTTTTTAAAAAAAAATGCATTCAGAGGCTGTCTATTTCACTGACTTTTCCTGGTTTATTAAGCCTGACTATCAAGCACATTGAAAGTTATCTTGCGTAAACTGAAAAATTAAAAGAGAAAAACAAGGGAGTACTTACATTTGGTCCCAAACAATTAGATGGAACAAGTATTTGTAAACATGGATCTTGCGTGTCAGCTGAGGACTGCACAGCTGCTTTCCACCATGGCTCAGAGAACAAGACACAAAAAAATCCTCATACCTGCAACAACAAAAAAATATGGTAAGGATCAGATAAGGAAAGCAGCAGAGCAAGGGAAACTTTTCCGGTTATTTGAGTTTATGTATGATCACTGAAAACATTCATGACACCGTGAGAGACTGTTTACTTAGCAAAGTGAATGTTCGCCATGTAAAGTGTATATACACTTAGGTAAAGCGGTCTTTACCTAATTTGTGTCTGTCAACACAGTTTTACCTTATTCAATAAGCTAAGTGACCATTGACTTTGTAAAGTAAACATGCAAAAGGTTTGATGTTTTAGTGATAATTATCATTGCCCAACTTAAGTTATTAGAGATGCAAGCGTGCAAAACCCATTCGATAACTTCTTTAGGCTTTATGCAATTTTTAAAATGTTCTGAAAAGCAATCACTTATTTATACAGTGTTGCAAACAGTTGTAAAGGGTCAGTTTATATAGAGATCCGATTTTAAAAGTGTTATTGGGGTAACTGACTCAGAGTTAAGAGGCACAATTTCCTACATTATTGTAAGTTGGCGACAGGGAAAGAAAGTGAAGATTTCTCTTGAAATAGTCTAGAGGGAAATAAAATGTCAGAAATCCAATTAAAATTATAGTAACCCATAAAAGGCATGTCCCTATTAAGATCACAAGCTAAAGTTTTACATTTTTTGTATGAATTTACATTCCCATTTCAAATTTTCTTTCTGTAGTTCACCAGAAGTACAATAATCCTGAGATCACTTATACCTCAGCCTCTGCTTTGTTGGTGCAGGGCCATCTCCCAACATAACGTCTCGTAGGGCATTTTGTGCACATTATTAGGCATACCACATTTGAGGATTTGGAGCGAAATGTATCCTGTATGCTGTATTCCTGAGGTGTTCCTGGTACTGATACCCATAGGTGACGTGGATATGTATGGAGGTTTAATCTATTCTGAATGCTGAGAGGATGTTCCAATTTGAACTGGCTGGTTAGGAAACCTCTCACAATTAGCTTTTTTAAAATGGGTGGTTATTCATATGCTAAGACATGCCGTTTTTTTTGTCTTTGTGCCATAGAGGCAGGATATCTTTAGTGATTTTTTTTTTTTTAGAACTCCCAGGCATGGGTTTTTAGTGACCACCAACTGGACCAGATTTTTCTTTTCAATCTGTTTATAATATAAAAGGCTGGTTTGTGGAATGCTTGTTGCTTTTCTGATATGTGTATTGGTTGTCAATGGATTACTATATATATACTAGTTTAATTAAATCTATCCTGAGGTGTTCTAATTGTCTCTGGTTTTCCATTAGTATGACTTATAGCTGACAGATTCCTTTATGTGTGTCGGGTCCCGTTCCGGGCAGGTCAGGTTCCGGTCCGGGTGGCTCGTCAGCCATGTCAGGTGCCGTCCCGCGGGACATACCGTGTCCCGATCCAGGCCACTGTGCAGAGACATGCACGAAGGGGGCGTTCCGTCGGCGCTGCTGGGCCACGCAGTCGCGGGTGCCCTGTGACCCGGCGGGGTCCGCCCCGCACGGCGTGACGTCAGGATACTGCGCGGGTGACGTCATCACATTGGCGCACGCGCAGTACAATGTCTCAGCCTATTTAAAGCCCCACAGGACTGGGATTCATTGCTGAGTGATTGCTAGTCAGCACCAGTCATCCGTGATCTGCTCCTGTGTTGTTCCTGAATACCTGACTACCTGGCTTCCTTCTTGACGTTCCCTTTGGATTATCCCTCTGTACTTCGCTGTCCGCCTAATACTGACCCGGCTTGTCCCTCGACTATTCTCTGGATCCTGTCTGGTACTTCGATGTCCGCCTAATATTGACCCGGCTTGTCTTCACTACCTCTGCACGGCTGCCTACTCTGCTCCACTACCATCAACTGCAGATACCTGGAAACCGTGATCCGGCACCCATGCACCCCCCTGCCTGAGCACACTGTCTTTACTCCAGTGGTCATCAGACAGGGTTGCAAGGGAGGTCCTCCTCATCACATCGGGCCCACACCTCGGACCTAACAGAATCACTCAGCCAATTAGTGGGCCCGAAGGGAGGCCTTCATGGAGGAACTCTGCCAGCAAATTGCCTCCCTTACCCAGACGGTACAGGGACTCCAGGACGGCTACTTTCAGTTAGAAGGCCTGTTGTGGAAATTTTACTAGGATGTGTTTTTAGTGTATTGTAATGTTTTGTCATTAGTCTCTCAGTGTCTAGGTAAATAGACGCTGGAGGTTAATCTATTGGAGGAGATATCTTATGCGTGGCGGAGCAGTGTCTTCTTGGCGAATGTATGGACGCCGGCTGGGGCCCCCCATGCAATGCATGGATTTATTGGCTTGCGTGGATACATTTGTTTGGAACACAGTATATGAAAGGAACGTGCGTTTGTTCTCTCTGGTGTGCCTGATCAACACGCTTGAGATAATATAACGTTATCCCTGTGAATGAGCGCGCATGAGAATCCTAGTAACGTTATGTGGCATTGATCACTCAGCAACGCTGGATGAAGTCACTCCGGTGGTCATAGATTGTTCTACTACATGTGTTTTGTTAGTTGGCTCCTGTTCACTTCCTGTCTGTCCCACTTCCTGGTTTGCTGGTTGTTGAAATCATCTGTTGGTTTGCCATCACTTCCTGTCTCGCTGTTGAGACACCCCTTCCTGTCTGACATCACTTCCTGTTGGGCAGGTATAAACAATAAACATACCTGCGCTCAGGTCTCTTAGCATGGGATTTAACGAACAAGCAGCATCTGTCTCCTGACTCTACATGACTCTATAGAAGGGGATACTTCCAGTCCTTGCATAAAAGAGTGTAGTACAATGGGGGAAATTCTTTGCGTTTGCGCAGCTTAATGCGACATGGATTTGTGCGTTGAACCAAGTGAATTTCCATAACAGGCCGGCTGGAATCCATGGCTCAGGGCACCTGTTCGGCAGCACCAACCCCGCCACCAGTTGCTCCAGCCGAGGCAGCTCCAGTACCACTGGCCGCAGCCGCCATGGCACCACCTCCAGAACCTCGTGTGCCGACACCAGAGAAATTTTCCGGGGATCGAAGCAAGTTTCGGGCTTTTCGGAACGCATGCCAGCTTTTTTACTGCAACCACGTACCTTCGTCACGGAACAAACCAAGGTGGGGTTTATCATCGTCCTTCTGCTGAATGAACCTCAAGCCTGGGCTCATCGTCTCCTGGAACTATCTGACCCACTCCTGGAATCCTCCAAAGAATTCATGGACGCCATGGCATTACTATATGATGATCCTCATCGATCCTCCTCTGCAGAGACTGTTCTAGTCACTTCGCCAGGGTCGCCGGCCAGTAGAGGACTATGTGGCGGAACTTAAGATGGGGTTCAGATACCAATTGGAACCAGGCAGCACTCCGCCACCAGTTTCGCCTAGGGCTATCTGAGACCCTGAAAGATGAATTGGCCCGCGTTGGAGTGCCCGAGGTTCTTGATGAACTCATCCTGCTTGCTATCCGAATCGACCGACGCCTGAGAGAACGGAGGATAGAAAGGGCTGGCCAGCCCCGACCCACCTGGATGCTGCCACGGGTCCCTACGCCTCTGCCAACCTTTGGGTCCAACCACCGACGCGCACCATCAGGAGGGTTTGCCGAACCTCCAGAACCCATGCAGATAGGGGTGCTGCGGGCTCTGCTCACCCCTGGGGAGAAGGAACGACGACGTCAGCTGGATTTATGCCTGTACTGCGGCGGCTCGGGTCATTATGCACGGAACTGTCCCACCAAGAACCGTAAGTGCCCATGCGCTAATTCCATGTCTGAACCTAGGGTGATGCGGATCTCATCTCATCTTGTCATTCCTGTGTCGTTACAGCTGCCAGGGAGAATTCTTTATACTCAGGCCATCCTTGATTCGGGGGCATGCAGCTGCTTCCTGGATCACAGATTCGCACTCCAGCATCAAATTCCCTTACAAACCAAACTCCAGGAATTAATCGTTCACCTGGCAGACGGCAATCCTCCCAGTTCTGGACCTGTTACCCAGGAAACCATCCCCATTCCTACAACGATTGCTCCCGGACATCACGAGCTCCTCCGTTTAGATGTCATCTCATCACCTCTGTCTCCCATCATCCTGGGAATACCATGGCTCCAGGCTCATAACCCATACATCAATTGGGATTCCGGAACCGTCGCCTTTACTTTGGCCTACTGTAAACAGTACTGTACCCATTCAAGTGGGTCCCAGAGCCTATCCCTCTGCCAGCCAGCCCCAGACCCCGAGCTTTGTCAGGGGGTTCCCCATGTTTACCACCACTTCCTTGATGTCTTTGACAAGCAGAAGGCAGATACACTTCCACCACATCGGTCTTATGACTGCCCCATCGACCTGCTGCCAGGCGCAGCGATTCCCTTCGGACCCATCTTTCCTCTTTCAGAACCTGAGCTGGACACTATCAAGGAATACATTGAGGACAACCTAAAGAAAGGCTTTATTCGCCCCTCCACGTCCCCGGCTGGAGCCGGAATCTTCTTCGTAGAAAAGAAAGACCACACCCTGCGTCCCTGCGTGGACTACCGGGAGCTGAACAACATCACCATTTAAAACCGCTACCCCCTTCCATTGATTCCTGAGCTGTTCCAGCGACTCCGTTCCGCAACAGTGTTCACCAAACTCGATCTGCGGGGTGCCTACAATCTTGTTCGGATCCGGGAGGGAGACGAGTGGAAAACGGCCTTTCCGTACTCGATTCGGGCATTACGAGTACCTTGTCATGCCCTTCGGGCTATGTAATGCCCCGGCCACCTTCCAACACTTGGTGAACGACGTCTTCCAAGATGTTCTGGATCTCTTTATCATAGTCTACCTTGACGACATCCTCATTTTCTCGACTTCCCTGAAACTCCATCGCCACCATGTGGAACAAGTCCTCTGTCGTCTTCGACAACATGGATTATATGTCAAAGCCGAGAAGTGTGAGTTTGAATGTTCCTCGATCCAGTTCCTAGGGCTGGTTATCTCAGCTGGTGGCATCTCCATGGATCCCCAG